CTTGAGAACCAAGACCTGGGAGAGCTGCTGACAGAATAGACAAGAGCTCAAGAAGTCACTGGTTGAAATGCGAATGCTGAATGGATGCGAGACGGTGGCTTCCACCAATTTCTTCTGCACAGCTATTCTGCAAAGCAAGGAAAGAGCTGGCAGCAAACCACGGCAGTGGGCACCGCCTAATCCTAGCAGACCAAGCAAGCCCCGTTCCAAGGGTTAATCTCTTTCGTATGGAAATGAGCCAGAGGTAATAAACCTCCCATTAATGTGTCAAAATGACATATGATAAAGCTTTGGTTTTTTATGACCACAATTTGTAATGAACTGGAAAACTCTGTTGGTTAAAGAGCTGCATTTTTGACTTACACCTCTTCAGCTTGTTTTAATAAGAAAGTCATGGATGGAAAAGCGATGAATGCTGAAGGAGGTTCATGAGGTTGCAGGGCCCTCATGTCCATGTTTGTCTTCGAGCTGCACTTGATCAAAACGCATCCAAGCGATGCTTTAGAGCAGTGGGCGCCAAGTTGAGTGAGCCCACCAATGTGTGCTGCCGCATCTGGAATGAAGGTTTTGGCAGAAGTCCCAATTACCAACCAGCTCAAAGTGGGCCAGACGGCACAGTGGCCAGCTGGAGCCACGGCTGGCCACAGAATCGGGTTTGAAGGGGGCTCATCCACGGCCTTCTGCAAGCCGGGGAGAGCCAGCAGTGGGGTGCGGTCCTGGCGCTAGTGGTCCTCAACAACTTGGATGAGGAGGTGCATTATCACATTTTCAGATGACACAAAACTGGGTGGAACAGTGAAGACCCTGGAAGACAGGTGACGCAGGGTGATCTGGATCGGTTGGAGCGCTGGGCTGAAAAGAACCGCATGAGATTCCGTAGGGACAAATTCTGCACCGAGGAAGAAGAGACCCAAGGCATTGTTGCAAGACAGGGGACGCTTGGCTCAACAGTCCTGCAAGTGAGAAGGATCTTGGAATTGGTGTAGATCACAAGCTGATATGAGTCGACTGTGTGAAGTGTGAAGTGGCTGCAAAAAGAGTAAACGCTCGTTTGGGCTGCATTAAGAAAAGCTCCAAACCGTGTGACGCACGGATTCCGCTTTACTCAGCACTGCTGGGCCTCCCCTGGAGCCCTGCAGCCCCTTCTGGGCATCACAGCCGAAGAAAGATGGAGACCGGCTGGAGAGCCTCGTCTGTGAAGGCTGTGAGGGGCCACTGGCGTGCCAGGATGTCACCTACACACGCTTCTCCAGAATTGCCCACGGGGACCAACGCTCTTCGCCCACAGCAGCCAAAGGTCCTGGCCTGCTTTCCTCCGCCAGAATGAACGAACCCGCTGCTCCTGAGGGCAGGGCTGTCTTCAGCTTAATCACAGGCCAGGAAAGATTCTACTCAAGGGGAGCAGCATATTAATAAGAGCATCAGTGACAAAAGCATTTCACTGATTGATCACCTCCTCCTCAACTCACTGGCAATCCCCCGCCCCGCCGCCCGCTAGAACGGAAATGGGCTGCGTCTCTGCCCGTTGGTGGGGTGCGGGTATCCGCTGGGTGCTGGTGCGTCACACTCAGTGTTTCTCTCTATGCAGGTGCAAGCTGCCTGCAGGCGCCTGTGCTCTTTCCATGCACCCCTTTTCCTTTCTTCATCAAGGATAACAATCACACCACTGCATAGCCGAATGACTAATGTCACACTTCTTTAATTCGTAACTTTTCCATGAAGCGCTCACCTTGAGAAGGCTGAGAAGTACAAGATTGTCAAAACACAGTTTAGAATATCAACTTTTAATATAAACATTAGACAGCAAGTTTGGCTTTACAATCCAGACCGTATCGACAGGCAACTGGTGTTTGAAACAAAAGCACCTTTGGATCGCGGCAACTGCCCGCGAGGAGCTCGTGCTCCCACGGACAGCAGATGCCGGGCGCTTCTCGCAGAGCCCTATCCTACAAAATGCTTCCGTTCTCTGGAAATAAATACAGCCTCCCTTTCTCACCTTGCACGGTCCCTTCTGGGCACCCAGCAGCATATGGGGGGGGGGGGTGCTGACACCGCTGAGGCTGCCAGCATCGCTGTGGCAATTCCCAAGAGCAGGGGGAGCCCGACATTTGCAGGAATCCAGACCTGCCCGCCGTGAAGATATGGGGCACCCTGGCCTTGCTGCCCAGCTTAGTTCTGTGGGACGCATGCCCCAGTGACTGTGCTCGAAAGTGTGGGGTGCCAGCCTGCACCCCGAATGGGTAAGGGCGCATCCCTTGGGGGAGGTCATTCTGCACAGGAGAGCTTGGTGCTGAATAATTGCGCCTAGGACCAGGCTCAGGCGAGGCCTGTGGAGAGGCCAGGAGGGAGGCGGCTTGCTGCCCGCGGGGTCAGATAAACGGCAGAGACCCTGGCCTGGGGGCCTGGGGTTCTTTAGCCAGGCAGGCAGGACCCCTCCCTGCTCAGCAGGAGGCCTTTCCCAGGATGCTCCCGGGTTTTCCTTCCACCAAAGCTCTTTGGGACCGGCATCGAGGCCCCAGCGGAAGCGTCTCTGCTGTACGGAGTGGGACCGTCTCCCAAGACAGCTGCAGTGCCGTGGGACCAGGGACCCCCTGCATGGCCAAGCCCTCCCTGATCCGATGGGTGAAACAGCCATGGGCATAAGCGAAGCAAACACACAGTAGCCCTTCCACTGTGCCGGACCGAGAGGAGCAGAAAGGTTCAACGGTGGGAAACCCAAGCCCAGCTGGAGCCTTGCAGCTGGCTTTCAGTTCTGTTCACAATATAGTCCCTCTGCTCTTGCAGAAGCCTGCCGAGTCCCCTGGCTGGACGCTGCTGTTTTGCAATCTAAATAATCTCAAAAAGGCAACCTCGAAAACACACAAGCAGGTCCACATGGGGTGCACTTTTGGGGAAGCTCCATGGAAGTGAATGGGTGCCTAGCCATTCTGGGCATGCAGAAATCCAGAAAAGGAACCAGCAGATTCAGTATTCGGTGTGCAGCGTAACCCTCCAAGTCCCTCCAAGTCTCCCAAGGAGCATAGATTTCATATGGTTTGTGGTAGGTGGTACAGGAGCAGGATGGGCTGCCAAAATCAAGCTGCAAGTCCCATAATAGGACTTGATTGATTTATACCCTGCCTTTTTCCTACAAAGGGCTCAAGGCAGCTTACATCGTTCTCCTCCTCCATCTTATCCCCACAACAACCACCCTGTGGGGTAGGTTGGGCTGAGAGTCTGTGACTGGCCCAAAGTCACCCAGTTGGCTCCTTGGCCGAGCGGGGACTCGAACCCGGATCGTCTGAGTCCCAGTCCCGTGCTCTGAACCACTGCACCACACTGACTTCTTTCCATTTGAATGGGGAGGGAGGGTTCCCTGGATATCAAGGGAGCTGCATATGAGCAAACGCATTTGGAGAGTGCTCATAATCTCAGATTCCAGCGGAATCTATTTCTAAGGCAGAGGAAGTGGCTCCCACGGCCTCAGGCAAGGAAGGGACCGGCCACCCGCTTGGAAGGCATGGAGACCTGGCTGAGACGGCAAGCCAGTGGGCAAGTCTGCATGCTCCAGTTCATCCCCATCCATCTTGTCCGTGTCGCCGTGGCAAGGCGAGCAGAGAGTTATTCCAATTTTGCTGCATTTCTTTCAGCACTTGCTGGTTAATAGACCTCACCGTTCGCTGAGCGTATTTGCACAATACTGGCATGTCTACAGCTTAAGAATGAAGGTTTGCCAGGACATGGAAAAATGGTTCATTTAATCGTTTGATTGATTTCTATACCGCCCATTCACCAAGATGGTTCCCTCAAAAATGGTGGTTCATCAGTCAAACTGAGCACTATTTCTACCTGTAGCAATTCAAAGACTTTGCAGAGATGTGCCTGCCAAAGTTGAAGCCACATTTCGTGCAAAGCCTTGAATCCACCCTGTTGCTCTCCCAGTTTCCAGTGGGCAAGCGGAAAAGACGAAAAGGGCAGCATGCGCAGCTGCGCGAGAGGATGCGCAAGAGCACAGCCCTGAGGAACCGAGAACCAGCCTGGGAGGGACAGAGGCGGCCCACAACCTCTGGCTGAGCCGTGGAGCTGATGAACGCGGGTGTCATCCTCCAGAGCTTGGCTTGAATTTTCATAAAAACCAACTCGGCGTTTCTCGTGGCAGGAATGCACGAGAATGTTTGTAAAGAATTTAAAGAATATTTTTGAATAATCAAGAAAAAGGAACGACGTGCTACAGAACTAAGGGGATAAGAGAGTTGGGTCCTACCACGAGGGACATATGGGGCCGATCCTGAATAGGAAGTTCATGCAGCATTCAAAATGGGATCTCACGGGAAAGCAACGGTGGTTTCCCAGCGAACACTGGTTGGAGGCAGCATCCCAGTCAGAGACATGCTGCTTAGCACAGGGGTGGGTCGGGGACTGGAGATGACTGGATGGATCGCCTGAGAATAAGAAATGCTGCCTACTGTTCAGAAACGGATGGGCATCTTCCGGAAATGCCACTCCCGCAGGTTGTAAGGACTCCGCCTCCGCGCAGGTGGCTTCAGTGCACTGCCACACATTCGGGGTGTGCCAGATGTGGCCCCTCCTCAGCTTCTTAATACGTGCAGGCTGGCAATTTCATGAGTGAGATAACGATGCGTCAGGAGGTACAGCCCTCCCCAGATGGCATGGCTGGTCAACCACGGTGCCAGTTTGGTTAAAGTCCCTCTTTTGCCATTTGATAAAGGGACTGTGCATGGCTGCCTGTCCTGCTGGAAAAAGCACTAAGGTTCCTTTTGCAAAAAGAGCAAGATGTGCTGAAGAAATTTCTTGAGGGCAAAGACTGAAAAGAACGTGAGAAGCCAAGAGGAAGAAACGCAACAGATGCCTATGGTAGCAATCCATACAATTATATGACATTCAAGTTGCTAAATAAACTATTGTTAAAGGCTATATTTCTCATTTTTGAGAAGCTGACATCTAGAGAAACCTGAAAAAAAACTTATTTCTTGACCAAAAATATGTATAGAAATGCCTGCTTTTGAGGAAAGTATCATACACATTTATTTTACTTTTTGTTTTAATAAAATAAATTAAATATACATGTCTTCTGTTTAAACTCTATATAGAATTTAAAAGGTTTAGCTCTTTGAATTTATTTCTAGTCCACTTGTATATTTAATATGGTCCAATTTTGCTAATCCTCCCTTAACTGGACTGAGATTGCATGAATTAATTAGCAAAACAATCCCCCTTTCCCACCCCAACCCCCCCACCCCAGTTCAGAAGTGCATATTTGGAAAGTTCAATATTCCCTGGAGATAATAATTTATGCAGTCCCTCTTACAAACACTTCTTAATCTTGCTTTGTGTTGTCTTTTATCAGTTCAGTATAAACCATGACTATCTGGTGGCAGCTATTAAAGGAAGCAGAGCAGGTTTGCTTTTAAAAATTCAGGAGTTCAATCATCATCAATCAACATCATCATCATCATCATCATCATCATCATCATCATTAAATATAAATATAACAAGTGAGCTGTACAGCATCCTTCGTTCGTGCGTCAGCGCGGTGGGTGGGGAGACACCCTTGGGGGCCGGCAGCAATGCCCCTCCCACAACCGGGGGCGGGCCGGCCTCTTGCTCCCCGCCATTTCACAACTTTAGGCAAACATAGACATTTCCTCCCAGAAGCCACCTAGGCGGCGGTGGTGGTGGTGGCGGTGGCGGCCTCCTCCTCCCCCTCCTCCGCCTCCTCCAGGGCCTCAAGCGCTGCAGTGCCCAGTCAGCCTCGACCTGTTGCTCTCTTGCTTTCGCGCCCTGAAGGGCTCCGTGCGGGTCCCACAGGGGGTGGCCAGGCGGCCCCGTTCCCGCAGTGCCCCGGGAGCAGGAGCAGAGCCAACCGGGAGGTGCCGGGCCGGCGGCCTCGCCGTCTTCCTCCTCCTGCCTGCCTGCCAGGCTGGGGTCTGGTGCGGCCGGCTTGCCTCGGGCGCTCCGGCACTGCTCTGCGCCGCGAGCCGCACCCCCTGCCCGGCGCCCGCCCGACCCCTTGGCGGCTCCCACTGCCCGCCTGGCGCCGCGCGGTCCGCAGGGTGGCCACCTCAGCAGGGGCAGTGGACGTGCTGGTGCTGGTGCACTTTGCCCTCCATGTGCGAGTGCGTGTGGGTGTGGGTGTGGGTGTCCGGGCACATCTTTGGGCACGGTCTGGGAGCCACGCCAGGGGCCAGGGCGGGCCCCGGGCTGGGCAGGTGCCGCTGCGCCACCATGTACTCCTCGCACTTCGCGGAGGAGAGGCAGTCCTTGTCGGGCGCCTGGGCCACGCAGGCCCGCCCCCGCGGGTGGCCCCGGTGCACGGGGACCGCCGCTGGGGGCGAGCAGGGCTTCCTCTTGCTCTGGCACAGCCACAGGAGGACCGTCCCGAAGATGAAGACAGCTCCGGCGGGGATGCCGATGATCACGGGCCACGGCAGGCTGCTCGCGGCGGAGGGGCCCAGCGGCGGACTCGGCGGCTTGGGACCTGGGGGCGAGAGAGCACACGTGAGCCCGGCCCCGGCTGGAGGCGCCATGCAGGGGCCGGGAGCAGCTGCGGCCTTTGCGTATGCCCCTGGGATCCTGCGACTCCACTCGAGCCGGCTGCTCAGAGCGGGGCGGACGGGGGCCCACGCGCCAGAAACGCGGCCTTGAGCTGTGGGGCCTGGTCATGCGAGGCCACCGCGCGAGGGCGGTGCGCAACTACCCGGGGACCCTGCCAAGCCCGCAGGACTGCGCGGGGCTGCGGCTGGCCAAAGCTGCGAGGGCCACGCAGGGGGCATGTTTTGAGATTCCAAGCTCCCCTCCTGGCGGTCCCAGGTGCGGAGCGACCTCTGCATGAGAGGGAAGCAATGAGTGCCCCCGAGGGTCACCGGGTTGGCCTACTGAACCAGCAGGGCACCTTCTGCTCCGTGGCTAAGGCAGAGCGCCACCCAGAGGGCATCTGGCCTCTTAAACGGAGGCACCGAGCAGCCTTCCCCCTCCCAGGAAGCCTGTGAAAGACCTTCCTGGCATTGCGGCTGCAAACCTGGGCTGAATAATCCCGCTCTTTGTGCTGGATGCGTGGCTTGGGGTAGCCCCCAGGTCAGCATCGGGCGGAGGGACCAGGGAGAGGCGGCCCCCAGTCCCTCTGAATGGAGATGTGTGGTGGTTGAGGAGCCCTGCCTGTTTCTCAGGTGATGTGCAGGCCGTGAAGTGGCCTGCCAAGGTTTGGGTGGGAGCAGTCCTGTCAGATGCCACCCCGTCTCCCCCTTGTTGGAGCAGGAGTCAAACACGTCAGTTGGTGGGCTTGACAGTCATTTTCCTCTAGTCATGCTGCCTTTTCAGGGCCCATAAAAGCAAGACGCCTTCTGGCATGCCGCCCCTGCAGGTACCACTGACTCTGCCTTTTCCTGGAGCATCAACCTGCCTGGGAAAGCAGTGCCATGTTCACAGGCTTGCTCTCTGTCGCAGCCTTGAACAGGCGGCCCTGTTGCAGGATGCAGGACGGGCTCTGGAGCCACAAGAAGCTGGACAAGAACAGAGCCAAAAACCTCTCTTGGGAGCTCTATCTGAAATTGGCAAGGCCCTCGCTTTCTCTGTGCCTGCTCTCCCACTCTTATTCTAATTTCACACAGTTTTCATCCATTCTTTTTCCTGAGATTGGTTCTTACTGTTTCTATCTATTTTAAGAAAGAGAGCTGTCGAATATATTCTTGTTTGAGATTTTGGTAATCTGTCAGGGAGGCGGTGCACTGGTCCCACAAGAAGATCAGTGGGATCTCCTGTACTTTGGCATGTGATCCCATGAGAAATTTCCTCAGAAAAACTCCATTAGCTGCACATTAATTCAGCTTAGTTTGGTTCCAGGGGCAGCAAGCACCAGTGGGCAGCGGTCCAGCACAGCTGACCGGACAGTGCTGATACAAGTCGGCTTCGAAGCCAGACAGAGAATTCCACTGGCAAGTTCAGCATCAATGAAATCAGGACAGAACAAATGCAGGCTACCTTTTGCACTGCCACTGGCTTGAGTGTTGGCTTTTGCTTTGGTTGTATTCTGCTTTAGACTTTCAGACCTCTTTTTGCACCCAGTGTCAGTGTTCAGCAACAAATCGTGAGTTAATGAATTGCGGAAATGCACATGGGCACATGAGCTGTTTCCATTTTCTGGAAGCAAGCTATGAATGCTACATAGTTCATTCCTGGGTTAACTTTGGGTTGTTTAACCCACAAACAACCCCAAGTGTCCAGGTTTGGATGTCATGGTAGCAACCAAAATATACCACATGTGCAGCTCGTTTCTGGAAACTGGGGTGCTTCATTTATTTGTGTATTTCTGTGCCAGCCCATGGCCGGTTTACAACAACGCATGTTGTGGACCTACTCACAATTTAAAGGTTAGTTAACCCAGAATCTGCTGCTGAATGCTGCCATTGCATGCCAACCACATCACTTAGGAATTAAAAGCATTTCTCCCACTGCTGCTGCCTCGAGCCAACCTCTGACTGAAGCAGCTGGTCTGTGACCAGAACATTCCAGCTCAGGACAGTTTGTGGCACTTCACACGATAATAAAACCAACCTCGGGGGGATCTCAAATACTCTGTGAACCACGCTCTGCGGCTGTCACCCACGAAGGACTCCAGCATTTTACTCCTGCTGTATTTTGCAGATGTAACCCGGGTGAACTGCCTGGAGAGGCGCTCTGGCATTTGGGTGAGACAAGTGCAGCAGGTGCAAGAATGCACAGGTGAAGGGACTCTCGGGAACGAACTGGCAGTGCACAACAGGGAGCCTCCCCCCGCCCCACTCACCGGGCAGCACCGTGAGGAAGGCGCTGCGGAAGCTGTAGCCCATGGTGTTGGCTCCCAGGCAGATGTACATCCCGGCGTCCTCCTCCTTGGCCCGTGCAATCATGAGCTTGTTCAGGTAGGAGCCATCCGGGCGGGACCAGACCTCCCCGGTGGGCAGCACCACGAACTTCTGCCCCCCCACGTCGATGGTGGAGTTGTACTTGCTCTCTGTGCCGTACTCCACCCGCTTCAGCCACTGGATGACGGGCTTGACGTCGCTCCGCACTTTGCACTGGAACGAGGTCGTCCCGCCGTAGTCCACCGTCGTGTTCACGGGGTGCGTTCCCGTCAGCACGGGCTTGGACCTCGTTCTCTCTAGGAAGGAGCAGCGACAGTCACCATTCACAGAGACCAACTCGGGCGTCTTCTCCACGAGGGGCTTACAAAAGGCCCTTCCAGCCATGCTGGAGCAACACAAGCCAGATTCCTTCAGAAAGTCCTAGGCCTGAGGAGGAGGCAAAAACCTTTCACCTGCTCAAAGAGTCTGACCAAGGATGGCAGATGCTACGCCTAAACTTCTGAGAAGCAGCTGCGAAATGAATTAAACAAACCAACAAACCTTCCATTAACTCATCTGCTACTGCTCCAGTTCTCAGAGACTCTGCGTCACCAAGCATCTCCAAAATTCCTTGGAGTGCTGCTGATGGCAAGATCAAGCTGAACCGACATTTGCGATGGGGGGGCAGGGGGGGGATGGCCCGATCACCTGCAAACTGCTAGGAAAAGAATCTGTGCTTGGCTTTTCTGCTACAGCTCATTCGAGCGCTGCATGGATTTTGAAATGGGAGCCGGAAACCATATACCTGTCTCGCCACCAGCTCACAGAGATGCATATTAAAAGCAGCGCCTGGGACAAAGGGCACAGAGCACGAGGTGCGCGAGCGGCAATTACGGCACTTTGCTGATGGCACAAGCAGGGCCTAAAGCTGGAAAGAGGAGCTCTGGCAAGCAGGTGGGGCAGAAGGGCGGAAGGTTTAAGTGAGGAAATGGGACGTATCCGGAACTATTTTCACAGCACGGTGCTGCAACAGAAAGAAAATCTTATCACCCTAAGCCTGGCAATGTCTTATGCTTCATAGGCAAAGCCTAAAGAAAACAAAAGTTACACAAACAAACATAAAAACTTTGGTTTGGCAAGGCAAGGCAAAGCAAAGCAAAGCAAAGCAAAGCAAAGCAAAGCAAAGCAAAGCAAAGCAATGCAACCAAAGAGGGGCTTGTTGCAACTATCGCCTGGTTCTGATGAAGCAAAATGTTGCGTCTGACATTAAGATGGAGCTTGATTCATTTCCCTGTCTCTGCTTCTGGTTTTAATGTAAACACATGTTTTTACTGCCTCCACGCAGCTGCATCTTTATCAGTCCCAGATGTCCAGCAGGTTTGTATAATCCACACGCAACGGAATTCTTCAGCATGTGGTTTTCATTCACATTTCTATGCACAAAAAGTGCCTGTCCCTTAACGGGCTGTTGCCTTCAGATGTGGGAATTTCCACACCAGAACAGCTATGCTGGGAACCACGGGGGACAGGACGGGTCTAGCGATGCAGGGGGAGAGATGCCCTTCCCTGAACGGACGGGGCGCAGGCCCAAGTGCCCTCCTGCCCAAGAGGCCGGGGCGTGTGTGGTGCGGGGGCACAGCCCCTGCCACGGCTCAGGGTCTGCTCTTACAGGGCCAGGCCACCGACCGAATGGTCTCACGGATCCTTTCCTTTGGTTCAACACTTACGGATCACTTCGACCTTATAGGTGGCGTTGATCTCCCCAATCCGGTTGAAGACCCGGCAGGTGTATCTCCCACTGTCCTCAGGCTTCAGGTTCTTCAGGTTCAGCGTCCACCTCTTCCTCTTGTTCTCGCCAATCTCCTGCGGGGTGAGAGGCTTGTTGTCCTTCAGCCAGCTGATGTCGGGCCGAGGATTCCCACTTGCCACGCACTTCAGGCGGACGGAGCTCCCCACGGGTCGGGCGATCACTCTCCGCCTCATCTTGGCGGGCTGCGTGAACCGAGGCCGAGCTTCAAAGACAAGAACACACCGAGAGGAAACCATCACTGCGGGCCACCGAGCAGCAGTGCGGGAAGGGCTCGCGAGGCCACCAGGCCCAGCCCCTGCTCAGGGCAGGGCTCCCAGGTGCGCCAGCCCACTCGGTTGAGGAGAGAGCCTGCCCGTCCTTTCTGGGACAACCTTATGCATTCGCCTCACAAGTGCTCTCCGGCCTCCCCTCAGCCTTCTCCCCTCGAGGCAGCACACCCCCCGCTCTTCCACTCTCTGCTCATGGGCGCTGTGCCCGGTCCCCGGCGCATCCCTGCTGCCCCCCGCCAAGCCCCCTCCGGCCTGTCTGCCTCTTTCGTCAACCGTGGCACCCAAACCTGGTCACAAGAGGCCAGGTGAGGCCTCCGCAGTGCTGCAGGAGCAGCACAGTGAAGCAGAGTTGCACCTGTGAGCACACAAGGAAGAGCAAACGTTTCGTCCCCAAGGCTCTTAAAGCTCTAGAGGCGAAAAAGGCCGTTTAGTGAAGCGGAGTCCCAGAATCCCAAGAACTAGGATTTTTGTCGCAGGTGCGTTCCCGCTTGTATTTTTTTTTTATTGCAAGCAGTTGGAGCCAGAGCTGAAAGTTGTCCAGTGTCTTCCAGAACTATTTACTCATTTAATAATTGAAGCATACACTTTAATGATATTAAAGGTATCAATAAAAATCAATGTGTCCTCTTGCTCGGAAAGCTTAAGAAGTCTTTTCTTGCCCGTTTCTCGGACATACCTGGCTGCTGATCATGCTTAATGCAATGACGGCGATCTAGCCAGTGCCTCTGTTCTGTATTGAAATCAGTTATTTGGGTGAAATCATACTTTTTGTGGACTGACAGACAGACAGAGGCACCGATTCACAGCCCCGGTTTCCATGTGAGGCGCACCCTCCGCATGGCGCAAGCCACCTCCAGGGGCAAGAGCAGCGCCTGTGGCGGGAATGCCAGGGTGGCACTTCGGGAAGGATGCCGCGGAGCCTCGTCAAAACCGCGCTGGAGCCCTTGCAAAGCCCCAAAGGCTGCCAGGAGGAAGGCCGAGTAACGCGCACTGCCGTGCGGGCCCCTGTGTGCGCTGCGTGCAGCTTTTCGAGAAGGTTGGGCTAAAAAGCGCAGAAGGAATACCTGAATGACGCTGGAGCGAAGAGAGCCTGCGGGTGCAGCCCGGCGTGTTTCCGCCCAGGGAGAACCCCTGCAGGTGGGCGGGAGACCCGGTGGCCGGGGTCCTCCCTCCAGCCCGTCCCCCCGCTCACCTCGGCCCGCGGCCGTGCATGGTGGCGGCTTCTGCCCGATCCGCAGCCTCGAAACGGAAGAGGATGGGTGTGCCCCTCGGGGTCCCTCTCGGTGGGGGATTGGCTTGGACACCTCCGTCTTGCGCACTGGAGCGCAAGGAACATTTCCAGCCCTGGTGGCAGCAAGTGCCTGTCCTCCGCCCCGCCCGGCATTCTGGTCTCGGCCCCGGCAGGGGATTTTGTTTCAAACTCTCCTCCTGCGGCACAGAAATGCTTCGCTCGCTGCAGAGATGCTTTCATGTGTAACCCAATGAATGGGGAGGCAGCGGCCGGGCGGACAGCTGGCGGGACAAGTGCGAGCTGCTGGCTCATGCTGCCACGGGGCTGGTGGGCGGGCAGGGATTCCCCGGATCACAACCTGCAGGAGGCGGCGGAGGCCCCGGCGGCCAGGCCCATCACTGCAATGGGGCTCGCAGCACCCCCTGGCCAGCACAGTGGCCGGGCGCGAGGCGGCTGGCCCGATCCCCGTGGCCAACCGGGAGCCGGAAGCGGGACACCCCTCCCTCCGGCACCGGTTCACACCCACCCACACCGCTCAGCCAGTGAAGCCTGGCTCCGAAACAGCTCCTTGGAAGGAATCGCACCCATTTTCATTTCGAGGCCCTAACTGGGTGAGGCCCCGCTTGCCCACGGGGCTCCCCGCCTGGCCCCACACCCGCCTGGGGGCAACATCCCGTGAAAGGCCTTCGAGGAGCAGATGACACCGAGAGGCCCCATGAAGCCGTCTCCTCCTGGCTGCCTCCTGCCCACTCGCGCTCCTTCCGGGGAAGGCCATTTGTGGCCAGCCCCAAGCGGCTGACCTTCCTGGTCCCCAGAGGACTCTCCGGGAGCGGTTCCAGGGGGTGGGGGACCCCTCCCTCCATGCAGAGGAGCTGAGCCCCTTCCCGGCCCGGCCCTCCACCCCACTGCCCTTCCGGAGCCAGGGAAGCCAGTGCCGAACTGGCTGCACGACCCTTGCCGGTATGGACCACGTGAAGCTCGTCCAGGAAACTGGCCGGCCCGCGCGGCAAGCACCTCGCCAGGCCCGGCCACTGCAAGGCAAAGCGAGCTGGGCCAGTGCCACACGTAGCTGTCATGGGTGCTTCAGTGGCCCCAGGCGGGGTCAGTGGGAACAGGGCGATCCCCCAGGAGCAGCAGCCATGGGGAGCCCTGCCCCCCACCCCCCCCGGGAGCACCTGTGCCTGCTCGGGGCCTACGGGAATGCAGCGCTATATAAAAATATGACTGGGTCAATAAATTGGAATGGGCCCGGCGCCACTCCCTTCCTGCCCCGCGTGAGGCTCCGCAGCTGCACCGGGGACGCCGGCAGGCACAACCGGGAGACTCCCATGGGCCTCAGCTGCCCTGCCGCGGCAGTGGGAGCCTGGCACTTGATCCGGGTCTCGTCTGGGAAAGGACGGGCGGACATTCTGGCACGGCTGTGAACGCGCCTTGCCAGCCCTGCGCAAGGTACCACCTCATCGCGGGAGACATTTGGGATCATCCTCACGACCACTCCAGCTCACAGAGGGTGTTAGGAGGGTGTCAAAAGGGGCTCGCTCCGCCACTGACAGGGCGCAAGGGGTCCGGTTCCCTCCCCAGGCGCCTTTGCTGCCCAGCCAGGTGGTGCTGGTTTCTGGCTCCAGTGAGGCTGGTGGCTGCGTGCCCTCCTGCCCTCAGGGGACTCCGCTCGCCACGCGGTCCTCTCACGGACAGAGAACAATCGAAGGGAAAGCAATACTCCCCGCCCGCCCGCCTTTCTCCTGCTTTGAAATCGGTTAAGCGACGCTATCCTCGTCCTGCCCCGCCACAAAAGCGACTCTCCGTTCCCTCGGTGTGATGCAGTGAAACCAGATCCCCCCTCACAAGCAGCCGGGAGATGTCTCCCTCCAAAGAAAAAGCAACAGGGAAAAGAAAAGAAAACTTGCCGGGCTAACAAAGGTACAGGGAGGGAGAAGGGAGGGAGGGAGGGGAGGGGTGGGGAAGGAGACACAGCCAGGCAGAAGGAAAGATAGCCCACGCCCCTTTTGCAAATGGCTTTCTGACCCTGGACCATGTGCTGTGCGCAGGCACCTCCCGCCCGCCGTGCCCCTTGCTCCGGGGCTCCCTCGCAGGCTCATCAGCGAAGATCTTTGTGCGCCATGCGCCAAGGCTCAGGGAAACCCAGCTGGCGGGCCGATGCGCACACTTCCCCGGGACCCGACGGCAGAACGGCAGAGTGGGAAGCCGCTCTGCCTGGACTCCCCCGATGAGCAGCCTCGGGGCTCTGGGCACAACCCCTCGCAAGGCATCGGGCAGGCCACTTCACGGTAATTCGCCTCCCCGCAAAAGCGCACCCCACCGTCCTTGTCCTGCCCCAAAACTGCACAGCTGTGCAGCAGGGTGTGCCGGTATGCGGCCTCAGTCCGGGAACCCTGATGGGAGGCAGCGAACAGGGCAGTGCACAGGGCTGGAGCACTGCAACGAAAGGCTGCAGTGCGAAGGGTGCGGTGCTTCTGCTCCAGCCCCCTTGCAGGACGGCGTTCCTCAGCGCGAATCTGCTCAGTTACGGAGATCAGCAGGTGAGACCCCCCGCCCCCGAAACACCCTCCCCAGGCAGGCAGGAACGGGCTTTCTCCTGGGTTCCTTCTCAACTTAACAGCATAATCCCATTGGCGCTGCATTTAGGAAGTGGGTCAAGAGCCTTCATCTTACCTTGCCGTCTAAAACTGCTATTATAGTTTGAAACTTGCTTTTTCGTGCTTCAGCATTTATGTAGTGATTCTTTGTTGTTTTCTATTTTTTCCTAAAACCACCTTGGTTGGCTTCAGAAAGACAGTATAGAATTATCAGAAATACCAGAGCGGAGAGGAGAGGAGAGGAGAGGAGACATGCAGGTGAGGGTCTCAGATGAAGGCAGGGATTTAAAAAAAAATCTCCAGCCAGGGATTCCTTCTACACATGCACAATTAAACATTCCTCTTCTCAGATTACTTCTTTGCTGGTCCCATGAGAGACGGGCTAAACATTATGCTCACGTGTTCCTGGGCAAACACGCTGCCCCCTTCTGCACTGGGGTCTCTCTCCATAAGATGCAAAAATGTAAAATCACATAACAACTTGTCAGACTGAGAAAGAGCAAAAATAAAGGAGCAGAATTGTTTGGAAAGCAAAGCTCCTAAGGCAAAGTGGGATTCCGTGATTAATGCCACGAAGAACAGTTGGCAGGGGTCAAATCCACCAGGCACCCTGGGGCCGGAACGCACGGCATCCCTCAACAACGGAGTGGAAACTGACTTCCACGACTGCAATCGGAGGACTTAACTGGCTGGCCCGGATGTTGCAATGAGCTGGAGGAGGCTCACGCGCTCCGGCAGCGCTGAGGAGACCTGACACAGAGCTTGGGTCTTCCTACAAGGCTCGCCTCGCTGCAGGCCCCAAGTGCCGAGCCATGAAACTGCCTGTGTGCCAAACGGACTGCTGCCTGCCCGCTTCCTGACCGCCTCTGGGCGCTGCTGCAGTGAGCTATGCAAGCCAGCTGGGATATAAATGCAGCGCGACAATAACAATAAGAATAGATGGCAACATAGCGGGTGACGGGGAGATAACACTGCGAACCAGAGGGCCGCAGGTGTTTTTCTCATTTAGGAGGGCAGTTTCCCATGTTCGCTTCTGCAACAGCCGAGCCATCCGAGCCACGTACTTGTGGCATGGCTCGACTTCACAGAACCCGCAGGGTGCAAAACCAGGGATGCCTAGAGCTGGGGGAGCAGACACAGGCCCTGAGGAGCCCCGGGCGGTGCAGGGACGCCGGAAAGGCTCCCGGGACAAGCCACGGTGCCCAGGGCCGAGCCGCGGAGGACGCGTGCAAGGCCAGTCCTGCTGGCTGCCCGGCATGCGCCAGCCCTGCGCAGAGCCCAGTCCCAGTCTTTAGCATGGCTGAATGGCGCCTCCGTGCCCATTCCTGTTCCCTTCAGGAATCAGCCGTTCTGCATTTCAGGATGGAGGCGAAGGATTAAGGAGTCACAAGCATCCGGCTCAGAAAGGGGAGTCCTCCACAAGCATGCAAATCTTCTGGGGCCGAGTTTGAAAGAGGACAAAGCACATACCGAGAATGCAGAAACAGGCGGCGAAAGCACTGAAAGGGGGTGAGCACTGGGACGGGCACTTGAGTGGTAAGAGGAATGTTCAGCAATACTGGACTGCAATTCCATTTTCATTAATACACTGATGAAAGTTCATTTGCTAGCAGCATGATTTTGTTCTGGCTGTGGAAATCCCAGCTAAGAGAAACACACGCCTTGTCTTTTTATCCTCCAACAATAGCGCAGCTGGCCAAATTTTGTTCGTCTTTGCTTACCCCACAGCTTTCCAGAGTGATCCTCAGAGTCACTGTTTGGACCTTCAGGTGCTAAACTTTCCCTTCCTGAGCTGGCATCATCTGTGGAGAGAGCGAGAGAGAGAGAGCGAGAGACAGATTAAAACATCCCAAGTTACTGTTTGCAGCTTTGGAGTCCCCTGTCCTGTTCCAACACACCAAATGTTTTGCTACTCAGCCAGTTCAGTTTCTTTCCTGCTTTTTGAGCTTTTCAGCTGGCTGCTAACATGACAGGAGATTAATTAATGTTGCCATTAATAGTGAACCAAAGCCCTTTTGTTTATGTTTATGGTCTGGCGTTCCCAAGCAGGAGATGAAACTGTTTTGCACTCCTTGCAAATGAAGGCATAAATCAGAATTATAGCTGAAAAGGCAACAGAGATTTCTGGGAATCTGTCATGCTAGAGGCAAAAGTTTAGAGTTTCCAAAAAAATCCAGGAAGTGAAAAAAAATTATTTATTTTGAAATTTACACAGAGGCTTTAATGTTGTTTTTTCTTATTTAGACTGTGGGGGGGGTGTGACATGAAACTGGGAGAGGTGGAGAGCAATAAGGAAACTGGGGTGGGGTGGGGGGCATTCCTGCCGCATCCACCACTTTCAGCTCTATTAAGAGCGGAATAAATGTGCCAGGCGAGGGAGCAGCGAGCCACGGGCAACTGCCTCTCTCCGCTTTGCTGCAGCCCGCCAGGCGATCCTGGGCCAGTTGCCCCCTTTCAGCTGTGCCTACCTCTCAGGCTTGTTGTGAGGACAGCGTGCAACGCGCCGCCTCGCCCTCCCCGGAGCCGACACGGGGAAGACATGGCAAGCAGAGCAAACGCCGCTCACGAACCTCCCTCCTCCTCTGCCATGGCGGCTGCACAGCTGCCGCCGCGCTTCTGCAAAGGGAACGTTCTCTCGGTGCCCCTTGGCCAGCGTTTTGAGCGGGACGTGATCCCAGTCGAGCCCAACTGCACCCGGCCATGGCTGCCTGGAGAGAGCTCCCAGAGGCCTGCCATTTCCGGAGCGCGGAGCACCTCGCTCCCAGCGCTCCGGCCTCCACGAGCCTCGGCAAGCGGCTACGTGGCGCACCATCGTTTCCATCCCTGCAAGATCAAGAGGCGCCCCATTTTGTGCGGCACAACTCCGGTGGCAGCACCTGGACTCCGGGGTACTTCTCCGAGTGAAAACGAAGATGAGCTCATTTCTGTGCAAGTGGCGACGTGCTCTCGGCTGTGCTGCAAAGTGAGGTCGACTTTAGGACTACTGTCTGGAGAGTTCTGGGAACCACCTGCCTCCAAACACCGTGAAAATGGCCAGTTGCCCAGCCTGCTGCAAATGATCCATCTGCAAATGAGCTGGGGGGGGCGAACCCTGAGGGAACGGGTGGCCCTGCTCCACCCGTGGACGTGGACGGCCTGCTGGCCCATCCCTGCCGTCCCTGCATTGGGCAGGCCGTGGGGCCAAGAGGCGGGCAGCTCGGGCTGTGCATGGTCCACACACGGCTGGGCACCCCAGTGGCGTGGGGCTCTTGCCCCCATGGCCCTCCCAGAGCTGCACCCATGCAGCCCCCCACAACCCCAGTAAATGTGCAAATCCGCCCAGGCCACGGAGATGCCCGGCGCTGCACAGGACCAGCCTGCAGGAGCTGATACTTGGCCAGCGACGCAGGAGCACTGCTCTGGAGAGCTCAAACCCGATTCTCCCGTTTGACGGCAGCGGCGGGTGCCAGCAGGTCGCTGGAAGCGAGGCCGGGGGCTTTCTTGAGTGTGGGTTGTCTGGCAATGCCTACCGTTTGCAGTGCCGACATTATGCACACCTAGCAGCGAGCGCTGTTTCTGTGCAAGGGCTGAGGTGTGTGAGCAGATGTGCCCTCCCCGCGCGGACAAGCCACGATGGGACACTCGGCCAACTCGTCTCTCAGCCTAAGCCCCTCACAGGCCTGTGGGGAGGTTAAGGGGGGAAATCACGTCCTACTGGGAGCATTGTGCAAGAGAGACTAACGAAAGCCAGCAAGCGCTACGGTGCTTGGACTAAAGAGACGGCGCTCCAGCCAGCCCAGGTACCAACGGTTCAGAAGGCGCTTTGCTCAAGTGCTTCCAAGCGGCAGTGGCAAAGGCCCGGCTGCCACGCTCCTTAAAAAACTGGGAATCGCTTGCTTGCATTTCACGACTCCTACTTTCCACAATGATAATCAAATCAAACCGATTTATGAGCAATCGTTTAAGGCGTACATTTCAGGTAGCGAGTGACAACACTGCACATGGCAACGGGATGGAAAATGGAGGTTTTGTAGGTTTAGGGCCAGGCCTGAAATCTGACAGAGCTTCCAGCAGGACTGCACGCTCCACACCTGCAGCACTTGCCTGGAGATTTTAGCCAAGGGTTTGTCAATCAGAACTTCATCCTGCGCAGGCTGGCGTCTCGGGGAGGCCGCCTGCCCTTTGTCCTCGGCCTCACGTTGCAGAGCGTCCAGCGGAGCGCGGCCCTTCCTGGCCACGACGCCACTCGCCCTCCCCGGCTAAGGGGCATTCTCAGCCGCACTCGACCAGCGCCCAGCCTTTCAAGCGAGCCGAGCTGCGGCGAACACACGGGGCCTTTGAAGATGCATCGCCACCCGTCATCCAGCCAAATCCGCAGACTGCCGGCCTGCAAGCAGGACTCGGGGGGATTCGCCTCTCCCGCGCCGCTCCCCCAAGAAGAGCTTGGGAGAGAGCGGCTGCGCTCGAGCTGGAGGCAGTGCAGCTCCACTGAGCACGAGGATTGTGGAAAGCCGGCTGAGCCAAGGGCAGGCTATCCGAGTGCGGAGCGACGCGAACTCGACGTTTTGCTCCACAAGTGTGGCTTCGCTCGACGCTTCACAGCCCGTGGTGCCCTTTATGCTCTCTTCCTACAATGCAACCGACCGCTTGAAATGACTGTTCAAGGTCTCCCTGAAAAGGCACATTGCACTCGGCCTTCCCACTCTGACGTGGGCTCCGTGGAGTGCATGGATCGGTGACTGCCTGTTGCGGCCTCCTGGACTGGCTCACGGGCCACGCAGGGGGGCACGGCGGGGGGCTTTTCTGTGCACACACGCGAAGCGAGGCCTGTGGTTCCAAGTGCCCAGAACTTTCCAGAACAAGGCCGTCTCCCCACAAAAGTGAATTTCCATGCTGCTCTGCTGGTCAAGTCATAAACAGTCATACTTTGAGAAATGAACACACCATCGGCTCATTCGGGGCCTAAAAAGGCCATAAAATCCCATCCAGGTGGGCCCTGAAGACTGAATGGGGTCGCACCACCCTGATCCAAGTGCCTGCAGGGGCTCCATCTGGCGAGACATTCACCAGTCCACAGTCGTGTGTGCTGCATCTGCAATTCTTGCCCTCAAGAGAAGCAGAGCCCCTGCACCACCGCAGGGTCATCCGTTCGCCTGGGGGACACGGTGGCCTTCAGCGTAGGCTGGAATTCCCCACTCGCTTCCCAGGAAGCCCCACCGAACTGAGTGGGACTTGCTTCCCAGGAGACATAGATGGGGCGGTGCTGCACACACCAGCTGAAGGCGAGGCGGGCAAACGGCACCCTGCCAGTATGTAGGATCACAGCTCCTATCATCCTGAGCCAGCACGACTAGTGCTGAGGGATGAGCAGAGCTGTGTCCAGAAACTTTGGAGAATCACAAATTCCACACCCCAAGTTTAAGGCACCAGAAGTTTAAGTTTCCTTTTAGACAGGAAGGTTAAAACAGCCCCCACCCCACCAATCTCAGTAACTTACATAAATATGAATATCAAAATCTGTTTTAAATGGACAGAGCTGTTTACAGTGTTATGATCGGTTTAGGACGTCAGCCACACATGGGGCGCATGGAATTCACCATGGCAGGTCGCAGCCCTGCCATCACGGCTGCAGGGACGGGGTTATCTGGGAGAGCACTACAGGTGAGCTGCAACAGGTACAGAGTTTTTGCTGAAGAAGAAGCAGCCTAAGACACACAGGTGCGACTGGTCGATGCCAAGGTGACAATCTGCCCGTGAGGCCTTTGGCACTGGTGCCCGCAGTGCTTCCTCAAATTCCCAAACGCGCCACAGGCCCAGAGAGGTCGGCGTCCCGCACACAACCGCAGGTTCGCAGCGCGGAGGTCTCACCCGCGAAACGCCTCCTCCAGTCTCACGCTTCTCCTGTGAAAGGGCTTCCCGGGAAGAGGAGATGCCTGGCTGGGCTGCAAGCACAGAGCAGAGCAGAGCACCATGGTGGCCCCCGCGTCACTCGCGTCCATCAGGGCTGGTGCGCCTCGGATGTGTCCGTCGCCTTTCCAAAATCCCTTCCTGCCGCGACGCTTGGGCCGCCCTCGGGCTGCTTCCATTCTGGCCGAGAGCTCCCGGCCACACTTCCCTGCCAGAAGCCGCCTGCAGCTTTCTCACCATGCCACTCCCGGCCACAAAGGGGGATGAGCCACGTTACGACGGACGCAGGTCCCTCTGACCTGATCTTTGACGCGTGCCTGAAGGAAAGATGCGGCTTTGAACGGTCCTCCGGCCAGTTTGCCCACCTCGGAGTTGCCGCAGCGCAACGGACTGTGCCCATCCTTGGGCCCAGAGAGTCTCTGAGGCTGCGCCAAGCATGAGCAGCGGGCTTAGCAGCACCCCAGTCCTGGTGGAACAGCTGGCCAGGGGCCTTCCTGGGCGGCCACACGCCTCACGGCTTCTACCCGCGTGGAGTGGAAGCCTCGGATCGTTTGTGGGACACGCACAGCGGTTTCGGGGATGCGTTTCGCCCTACAAGCTGAATTAGCCAGAAAGGGCAACAGTGTGCTCTGGGTGGCCCACTTCTATTTCGAGAAACTCTCTAAATGGTTGCATTCTCACATACTTCTGCTGAAAATAATAGAAGGAAGGAAGAAACGAAGGGCATCTTAATACACTAAAAGACATTCCTAAATCTAAAGCCTGTTTCTCAGCAGAAGAAGAGAAATGAGGTGGAGAGACATGTGTTTCTTGCAGAAAGAATGTGGGTGGAGTAGGGTGAGCAGAAGAGTCCTCCAAAAAGTTCTGAGGACCCTCGAAAGCTCAAGAAGGGAAAACCTGAAGGGAAAAGGCTGAG